ATTTCTGTGTGGAGTTTGCATTTTCTCCCTGTACTCGTGTGGGTTTCCTCCATGTGTTCCGGTTTCCCCCACAGTCCAAAGACATGTGCTATAGGTGAACTGAATAAACTAAATTGGCCGTAGTGTATGAGTGTGAATGAGTGTGTATGGATGTTTCCCAGTACTGGGTAGCAGTTGGAAGGGCATCCGCTGCGTAAAACATATGCTGGATAAGTTGGCGGTTCTTTTCACTGTGGCGACTGTGGTCGTTTTGTTAGTTTTGTATTTTTTTTGTTTGAAAACGGATATGGAACGGATGGAAGATACCCTGATTGTAAATATAGCCAGCCTCGATTGCACTGAAAAAAATTATGTCTGCAAAATTAAACCAACAAATTAAATTTAGCAATGTTCAACTTAATTTGTTTGTTTACGTTTAGCCTAAATTAATTGTTTACAACCACTTAACTTTTTTTTTTTTTTAGCAAATCCAAGAAATCATCTTTGAATATTTTTTCAGTGTGTTTTTTTTTTTTTAATCACACTTGATGAAAAAATTGTCTGCAGAAACACTTTACTTGACATTTTCACTTTAATTTGACAATAATTACTAACAGGAGTATAAATGTGGAGTTTTAAGATGCAAAAATGAACAGCGGAGTCTCCATAGACTGCCTTCTTCTGAGACACTTTTCACATTTTCAGTTTTTCACACAGATAACACTAGTTCTGTTCTGAATGTACCAATATGTTCAATCATAGGGCTTTGTAGCTCCGCCCTCTTTTGAAAAGAGCACTTAAATCTCATTTGAATTAAAAGTGACAGTCACCAAAACGGCACAATTTGGATCAAAGGCTAAAAGGGGCAGTTTTAAAGAGTTATAAACAGAAACGTTTGTGTATTTTAAGCTAAAACATCACAGACACACTCAGGAACATCAGAGACTTATTTTACATATTGTAAAAAGGGGTATAATAGGTCACCATTAATCAAAATCTGAAAATTTGCCTTCCTTCTCTGAGGATGTCAGTTAGACAGCTTTGGCAGAATATTACCAGAATATTAACCCATATCTTTTATAATGAAACGGTTTCATTTATGTGGATTACAAGGACCAATTGAACACTACCGACTTCCACTGACATGGGGGGGTGACCTATCATGAAACAGTGGCATGCTAGCATTTTAATATTTAATGTACCCATAACCCCTTTGAGAAACCCATTTGAACCTCCAAACATGCTTGTTACGAACACAAACATGATGCATATCACTCAGAACCTGAGAATACCTTGAGCAGGATACAATTTCAGCTGTACACATTCCAACCACATTTCATCATAAACATACAGCATATTAAGCCACATACCCTCAGCTGTGAATTATAAATGAAGCCGATCTACTGTTAACGAGAAGTACTGACCGAGGAAAATGCTAAAGATATTGAGAAGTCATAATAGGCCACTGATGTGAACAACAGCAGCCGGCAACTATGGATTTTGTCTCCAGTTTCCTACACCAGTCATGGAGCTATTAGGCTCGCTTTTCCTTTGCCTTTCTACTAGCACCAGCCTAGGCCAAATCCACCATTAATTAGTCTCGACAGAACAAATTTCCTTGTAAATAAAAACTAAAAGAAAAAAAAAAGTGTCATGAGAATTTGTTGGATAAGCATGGCCGTGGTAAGATTTACAATTATCAATAGTGCACAGAGAGCGATGAGTTATCACGTTCTAAAGGACAGTGCTGACCTTGCTAAACTTAAATGTAATCAAGATAAAACTAATCTGACCTTTGTGAAGGACTATATTTTATTTTAAAAAATGATATGCATTTGAGTGCCGAAGTGATCGTCATTTTATGTGACTGATTTTAAAGTTTTAAGACCTGCTTGCAAAACACTCAAATAAGCTGTAAAGTGAGACGGATTACATTGTGCTTCTCGATTTCCATCGCTGCCGCCCCCCCAACCCCACCAAAGCGATCCACTAAAACATCACAATGTCATTTTCAGTGCTGGCTTTAGAAAAAAAAACTCTCAAAAAAGATCAAAATACAGCGCATGGATTGATTTCTATCCAGCACACACTCAGGCCGGTGATCTGATCTGAAAGGGGGTTTGTGCTATAGGAGAGATAGCGGTGGGTTATGCATCAAACACACATATTGATTGATACCTAAACTGCTCTGAATTTAGAGTGAATGCATATGTATGCTCACAACACGTTACTTCTCTGGTCGATAAAACTTTCCGATGCATTCCAGTGCTTTAATATTTATGATAACAGCTAAATTAAGTAAAAGCTTTAAAATGCTGGGAGGTAGCATAATTGACAATTCCATTGAAAGTGCAGGAGGGTTTGTCAATATTAATTTTCTGGATCCCAAAGAAGCATCCCAACTGATAGGTCATTTATCCGCACAGCTGGGATCGAGCTCTCTGCAGCCCGATCGACCCCTACCTGACCCTCCAGGGCCTGCAACAATGGCCTCGACCTCTGACCCTTAAAAGCCAATGACCTCACCCCATGGAAATCTCGGGCCACTGGACGGCATGCTGTCCCTCAAATTGAGCGGCCTTTAAAGAGATAGTTCATCCAAAAATGACAATTGTCATCATTTAATCAACGGAAACTTTGATGGCTTACTTTCTTCAATGACACAAGGAAGTAGATATTTACGACCAATTTGCAAGCTGCACTCTTCCACATAATGAAAGTAGATGGTGACCACAGCAGCTGGTTCACTAAAGTAATTTTTGCTTATTGGAATACATTTTTTACCAAAAATATAAACAATAAAAGCAATGCATATATAAAAACGTAAAGAAAAAAATTGTGATGTTAAAGGTGCAGTATGTTTGCTTTTGACTCTTCTAAAGAATAAAAATACCATATGTTTGCAGATATTTAAAACACATGCTAAGTGAACATTCTTGTTTATCTGAAAAACAATGCTGAAATCGGAATGCTGTCTTTGTTTTTTTTTGTTTTTTACCTGCCCAATGCCAGATTAGCCAATTAGATTCCAGCACCCCAGCTTGCCTTAATGGAAAACCGCATATTTCATTCATTTATTCAGAAAAGCTGTGAAAGCATGCGTCCGTGACTGAAATGGGACTTTCGGTGGATAGTAGCAGAGTTCCACATGAGGTTATTAACTAGCAAATAATATAAATATTATGAACCTAAACATTAGGGGCTCTATTTTGATGATCCAGGCGCAAAGTCCAAAACGCAGAGCGCAAAAGCATTAAGGGGAGTAAAAGCATGAAGTGTCAGAATCCACTTTTGCTATTTTAAGGATGGAAAAATCCACTTTGCGCCGTGGTGCATGGTTTAACAGGGTTGAGCTTATTCTCTTAATGAGTTATAGGTGTGTTATGAGAATAAACCAATCAGAGTTTAATCTCCTATTCCCTTTAAGTGTCAGTTGCGTCGCGCCATAGCGCATTTGCTATTTACATGGCCGACTTTGTAAGTGGAAAAATGGAACACTTCACTAGTGAGAAAACAGTTAAACAGAGCATCTAGAACTGCATCGTGCCTTGTGCCACATTGTGCCGGGTGTATGATAGGGGTCAGGGGTGCAGGTTACATCTTAACCCCGTGTCAAAACACAATAAATTTGGCTGTTTGCACCGGACAAAACACGACAGAAATATCCTTTTAGAAGCAAAGAATATGCACTCGAAATAGTAAGGTTTATAATCTAATTAATACATATCAAACCTCTTTAACATTATTAAATGTACATGCTGAATACATGATACATGATATGTTTTGGTTTTTATCCTAAAGTTTTAAAGTTATGCAAGTAAATTATCTGCTGCTGGTTTCGGTAGTAGAGCAATAAATGTCATGTAAAATGGCATTCAAACTCACATTGTTAGCATTTAACACTGAATAAAGCACATGAGGTGATCATTGTCAAAGTTTCTGTTGTTTACCTTTGAGAGCCATTTCTAAAATATGAAAATATAAAGTTGGTTAGGACAAAAACTCTTAATGTGGAAAATATTCCTTCTATTGCATGCCGTTGCTTTTATTTAGAACAAAACTTAAATCAGCCTTTAGGCTCGAGACTCGCTCCTGGCAACCTGCACTTGCGTTTATTTTGATCCAGGAATGTAATACCTAGTTCAACCACTGAGTGTTAAAATTACATACCCCTGTAAACCCTGTAAAAATATGTTTCCTGTGGAACAGTATGTGTTCTTAATATATACAGTGAATAACTGTAAAGCTGTAAACATGTAAACTGTAAAAGAGTTCCATGAGAACTGCATGATACTTCATTTGTTCTTTATTTTGAGTCGACAACTTTTTTTTTGTTTAGTTTTTTATCTCTCATTCATTAATTACATCAAAGTTCTATGTTACCTCTAATGTTTATTGCATTACTTAAGTGTCGTGTGTTACCATGATTATGTTTTGTAGTTGTGTGAATAACAAACTAGCAAATCACACAATATCCTAAAAAGGTAATAAAATAGTAAATCCTGCTCATAAATTAATAAGATAACTAATTTGCATATACAATGTACTTAAAAAATAGACAATAAATAAGCAAAAGGTGTGCATGATGTACTTAACACAAGGCAACAAAATAGTAAATCGATAAGTCTGTTATTAGTATAATATACAGGTAGTTTTATGATGAATTTATTGTGCTGTTAATTCATTTTGCAGCTCAACGACATCCCTCCCTAATGATTTTAACTGTAAATAAATGTACAAGAGCAGCACACACTCTCTTCAAAATTTCTCTTTTTGCATTCTACAGAAGACAGACAGTCAAAGGTGTGTAACCTTTAGAGTGAACGATCCTTTTAACCTGACACTGCAAAAAGGCTTTCTTTCCTTAAACCAATTCTACTCATGTTTGAAATGAACACTGAACGCATTCAGCTGGTTAAATTTAAGGTCAAAGTCTTGGAACGGAGCCATCCTGTAAGCGTTCTGCCTGCAAAAAATGCAGTATTTCACATTCGGTTCAGTAACAAAGTGATGATGCTCACCTTTTTTCTTCAAGAAAGCTTTTCTGGTTGCCAGGGGGCTTTGACGAACTTGCTGGTTTTGTAGAAACCTCATTGCCGTAGCGATCTAAAAATAAATAAATAAATAAAGATATCTTAGATTTGCAGTGCGGAATGAGCTCATCAGCGTAATAGAAAGTCATCAGTAAATGAAGATCTCTGAAAATGCGAGGAAGACTTTGGAATTCTTGCAGGCCGGCTGAATTATTGTACATTTCCAACTCCCCAAGGTATATCATCAGCCAACAACAGGAACTTATAAAACAGCCCTCCCCCCCTCCCAATAACTATATGGAGGCCAGACCACCAAACCACTTTAGAGATAAATCTAGGAAATGAGTGAATCAGCAGTTATAAAATTATCCCATCAAGGTTTGCTGAACAAATGGGGTATGGAGTTTAATTTGCCATTATCCTCTTTAAGACAAACTCCTAGCCTTAAGTGAGCAGGGACTGAAAATCTATACTTAATGCTGAAGTGCCCATCTGTATCTAATAACGGCCGAATACCTGGCTAAAAACTTCAGCGATTCTTAAAGAAGAAAATGCATTATGATCAAATCACCTAGGCTGCATGTTGTAATGACTGAGTGTTAATGCACTAGAAAATTAAATATCATCAGAACACGTGTAGTCGGAAGTGCAGCGCCGCTCGCATCGATTCCTCTGTGTTTTCCTTCGAGATGCACCTTGATCTGCCACTTTAGCTTGCTTCTCCGAGAATTAAAAAAAGGGTCTCCTCCTCAAACACCATTATGGCATGAATTTGAAGTGCGGGCTCTGAAGTGCTGCTTTTAAAGAACAGATAAACATGAAATAACATCTGGAGATAGGGGGGAAACGCACACTCAAGGATAAAGCCGAGCCGCCTCGTTATCGCACCTGTGGTCCCCGTGATTCAATTGTAAAAGTCATCCCTCTAATAGGTTGAAAGGTTTTGATTACTGTTCTTTTTCTTTAAGCGGCAAAAGATAAAAAGTGATTGAGCGCGCTGTCTGTGGTAATCCGTTTTAGGTAATGCATTGCATATACTAAAGACCTGTTTCAATCCAAAAGGATTGCGTTTTGAAAATAGGCTGAGAAGAATGTGGAATAGTCAGGCCGGCTGTATAATTCGCCGGCGACAAATCAAGACAGAGTGAGTCGGGGACCCGCTTTTCCTTTCAAAAACACATCATATTGATTTCAGCTTCAATTTATGGGGAACAACTTTGACTTTGTTGGATGAGGAGGAAGACGGAAAGGGGGCTGCGGACGATTTGGGGAATGGCACGAGATTATGATTCTGATAATTGGAATAAGCAAGTAGGCAGGATGCATTTGTCTTCAAAAACACAACAATGTCAGGATCGGTAAATAATGTAACCATCATAACACCTGGTTTCAGAGCACATAAAGCATAATTTATATATAAAGGAACAAATATTTTTTTGTTACATGGCCTTTTAAAATCTGGATCTCTACATCAGCAGTGTCAAAACTTTTTTTTTAATAAAGTTTGAACTTAAAGAAAAAATATGATAAAACTCATGTAAAAAAAAAAAAAAAAAAAAAAAAAAAAAAAAAAAAAAAGAGTAAAATGACTGTGATATTACTGGTATATATATAAAAAAAAAAACAGTAAAAATGCTACAAAAAATGTGTTAGGTTCCTTAATAAAGATGGTGAATATCAGTAAACTGTTTTCAGAGCTCCCTGCATGACACTTACTGTGTTTCTTTTTAGTTTTTCTCATTTATTATGCAAGTTTTCTTTACATGTTTTTAAACCACTAAAAACAAATAAAACAAAGCTGTCACCCATTTGTAAAAATAATAAATTAAACTCTTTCACAATTTGGTATAATTTGAGATTCATTTAAATGCAAATGTATCATTATTTATGTGCTTTCATACATTTTTTAATTGTCTATAGAATGTAATGGTTATAGATATTGGTTGTACAAATATAGTCTGATGAATTATCACGTTTTCAAGGTTATTATGATTATTATGCATTTATTAATTTCAAAACACTACTAGTTTTGAAAAATCACATGAAAAGTCCTTGTATTTTAAACTGTTGTTTATTGCTGCTCAGTAACCAACTAATACAGCACAAAAAAAATAATAATGAAAAATAAACAAAAGCCCATTTCTCTCTTTGGACTTAAAAAATAAGTAAAAAAATTATTTGTTTTTTAAAAATAAGTAATAATTTAATAAATAAATAAAAAATTAATTGTCTAATGTAAATCTAAGCTACAAATAGAGAACAAATATAGTCAAAAAGTCTGCTGAACCTCTGACTGAAAGGCACATTTGATCAACTATTTTACAAAATTGTTAGACATTTTCATTTTGTATTTTTTTGGGAGTAGAAATGTGTATATTTCATGCAAAGTATGAAGCTGATTAGTCCAGTTCTTGTCATATGACACATGACTCGGTTGCTTGCGACATTCTTTCAACTAGGTACATCTGGAAAGCGTGAGGGCATCAAGCCGCGTGCATGTCTCTCCCAATATGAGACAGCAAGCTATGAACCTCCATTGGAAATAACAAACTTGAACATGCAAAAGACGCGATATGTGAGCAGCCATTAGTAGCCTAAGCTTTGTTAATCCAGTGTGCTGGTGTATTAGCCTCGGTGTACAAGCTCGGAACTTTAAACTAGTGCACAGTTGGCATAACTTTGTAATTGCAGCAGTTTTGTTCAGTGCGGAAACTCAGTGTTGAGAAGCCTTTACGATTAATTAAAGCGCAGCTAATAGTGAAAGTGGTTAACCTTTGCATACCTAAAAAGCTTAGCCTTAAAAAAATGAATAAATCTTAAGGTGGCTAACAACACTGACCTAATTTTTAATTTCAGGCAAACTCCAGAGAAAAAATATAATAGAAAATACAGTTTCAAAAATTCTTGCTGTTAAACATCGCTTGGGAAATCTAATAAAAACAGTTAATGAAAACGGTTTATGGAGTTCTTATTTATATATTTTTTTAATTTTTTTATTTATTTCAGTAAAATATAATAATAATAATAATATTAATAATAATAATAATAATAAGTTTATCTTATTTTGATCTCAAACTTCTAAAGCTATTCAGAAAAAAAGCTAAACACTGTTTTTACATCCTGCTTCATAAATAAACAAGCTCAGTTCAGTTCTGCAAAATCTTCAATGAAGAATGGCAAGTGAACATCACCATTTGAATGGATGTGGGTTTTGAGTTGTAGAACCACACAATAAGTGCATTTTACAATCCAGAAGCACGCTTTCCCTGCTCTATAAACAGCACGTAAACTGCGCAAACCATCAATTTCTTTATTCACTGCACAAAAATGATGTCAGGCACGTCGCGCATACAGTAAATCACATTTTACAAGAAAAAAAAAATCACAATTGAGTCACTGCCGGTGCAAAAAAAAAAAAAAAAAGCACAGGGATGTTTCATTTAAGATTATAAAAGACAAAGGGGTCAGCTCCTCGGCTTGAAATAAGACTCCTTTTTGTGATTGAGACTGGCTTTTACTTGGATGGAAGGGGCACGGCATTCTTGTAAACACTTCTCTAAAAGATGGGATCAAAGTGGGATAACAAATGAGGGCGATGTCCATTTATTTTTCAAGAGTGTTACGTCTGATCTTCAGGGAGAAGAAAAGTGCTTTTCTTTGCAGATGACACGCTGCTTTATGCAAGTTCCACCCAGACATCTCAATCAATTATAACCACATTGCGCAGATTTTAGTCTTGTCTACTTATTGACGTATAGATCACCCTCGTTGTCGTATAAGGTAGCAGCGCACGATCCTGCTTTTAAGGGGGAGAGCTGGATCATTGCATGTCAGTACAAGGCACATTTGGTTCGGCAAGCAAAATATTAACTCAAATTAAAAAGGTGGGCGCGTGTTTCTTTGCTGAATACCAGTAAATACTCTTTGTTAATCAACCATTATTTTCTAGTGTTTCTTGTAAGGCTGAAATTGCTAATGCACGGAAAGTGCTCCCTGTTCTAACCAATAATCTTTACAAATGAGATGAATGATCAAGTGTCAGGTGCAACCTAAAAAGTGGTGAAAACTCAATCATAGGGGCCAAGCAACATTAAGGGCCACGTCTGGAGACATGCCTGCTGTGAACATGATGACTGGACAAGGTCTTGCAAATCGCGCCATGTTGTTTATTGAGTTTGGATCGGACAGAGTTTTAACAGAGCACTTTTGCCTTAAATTTGGAGGCGGCGCTCGTTCCCCCTTAACATGATGATATTGATCGGGAAGAAAATAGAAATGTCCTATTAGGCAGGCCAAATTTTTTAAGCCAAAGCCGTGTTATGCCTTTTTCATGCCAAGCTGCTTTAAATGAGCTGAAAGTCCAATACTGGATGGTGAATTTGGATTAATAAAACACATTTGTCAATAAGGCATCCAATTTCATCTAACTTAACCTAAAAATGTGATTCTTTAACTTTTACCCCAATTTTAAGGTTATGAAACGGCTTTACAAATGTAAGAAAAAAAGAGAAGCTTTGTTTATAGTGTAAATTCTGCAGAAATTACCAGTAGATATGAAAAGGAAGACTTCCTTTATAATTTTGCAAACAGGTCAAACAGGGAAACGAACTTTTGCTCAAGGCAATACACATTCACAAAGGAACTATTAAGAGGAACCAGATTAAATCTGATGTGGATGGGGTTTTATTTCAATATCCTGATATTGTAAAAGTGGAACATGGTTTTATTTTGAAAATGAATGTGAGCTACAATCAATTAACAATTATGTTAAAGTAACAATCCAAGCAGTAATGGATACCAAAACAAATTAAACCTTATTTCAAAATACTAATCATTACTCGTATTTTAATTGAATTTTGATGGAGCAAGTTACTTAATAATAATAACATTAATAAAAAATAATAATAATAATAATAGTAAGTACACTATGTAACCATAAAGGAAGCTTGGCTGTTATTTTGCACTATATAATATATGCAAATACTTTTGAATGCATCTAGATATTTTAAAGAGGTCATTCACACCTGGAGAATATAGTAAAATCTTTATATAGAGTACATGCAAATATAGTGA